TCTCATGGCTTAGGGGTAGCGAACTATGCTGCCAATCCAAAGCTATACAGTTCAAATCTGCCAGCTTCTCTACAAGAGAAAGATGGACAGTCTTCTCCCATGCGATTTATTACCTCAGAAAAAACTGCTGGAGGGTCAGCTCTGGATTCCAATTTGACAGTACATAATAACAACTTTTCAGCTACAAACCCAGCAGATTAGGCACAGAAGGAAGCAAACTTAAACAGAAGCAAATTCAAATAGAAAGACAGACAACACATGGACATAATCAAGGGAACAGCAAGAATGATAGTGGGGACAAGGATTTTGCCTTAGAGCAGAGAAAACTTTCCCTTTGACGTGTCCCTAGGTGTTCCGATTCCTAACATTTTAAACTGGGGGGAGGATGTCTGTCATAGCAGTACTTGATAACTAGAAAGCAGATGTTCCACCTGAAAAGAGAGAGCACGCTCTGAACATGCAATGAACATTCTCTCTTTGTGATTTCACACATGCCATTTCCTCCGTCTGGAATATTCCCTCCTCCATGGTTTTCCTCTCCACACAGCACCTACTGCCATCAAAATCATCTTACACAGCTCTTTACCTGCTTGCTGTCTGTCATTCCCCACAGAGCTCTAAGTTCCAAAAAGGAAAAGGCTTTGTCCTCTATCTCATTCATCACTGGGTCCCCAGTGCTTAGGGCGGTGACTGGCCGAAGGCAGAGAAGGGACTCAGAAATACCTGTTGAAAACAGAATTTCAGTCTCATGGAATTCAGACTTTTTGGAGCCACTGAGGCTAACTGAAACACCTAAGTAAATCTTTAAGCTCTGAGCTGAAATGACTCCCTGAAGTAATCTTTAAGCTACCCAATAGTTTACGCTACCCACTAGTTAAGCTCAAGGAAATGAAGAACAAATTCAAACCTCGAGTTGCTATAATCAAGGATCCTTTCGGCAGAATGTTAAATGATCCAGGAAGTATTAAAAGAAGATGGAAGGAGTATACTGAGTCACTGTATCGAAAGGAATTGGAAGACACAGAAGAATTTCATGA